TTCATGGACTGGAAAAAATCTTGGAACACAAAGTGCAATCTGCGCTGACAAAATCATGCATCAGCACGGGACTCCGCCAACATCCAAAAAAGGAACAACCACACTGTGTATATATTTGTGAGATCAAGACCTGACCTTGTTACTGTGCTCTGCGTTTGATCAAACATGTTCGCGCTCAATCTACTTCCGATAACAAAAGACTGTTCTTTTTCTAACCCGTAGTCGATGTGGTGGATAGGATGCCCTGACTTGAGGCATCTTCAAAATTTCCCTGAATCTGAAGTTGAAGGCCTGTGGTTTTTGTTTCCCAGCACAGGCTCCCACTCCGGGTCTCCGATCCTGGAGCGTTTGCGGGAAAGATGTTCAACCTTTCGCTCATCGGTGGTTGACAAGGTGCCTTCGAAAAACTTATCGCAAACGATTTGCTCAGCGGAACGAGTGGCAGAAGAAGCTTCACCTGGCGGTCGTTCTCACTCACTCAGTCCGCGTTTGTTCAACAAAAGGTAGGCACGCGTTCTACAGCGACAGCCAGCAATTGCAACGGCGCCTGCTGAAGGCACTGGTCTGGAATCACTGATTGTTCGGTCCTGGCTACCATGAAAAAGACCGGATGATAGAAAATGATTTTAAAAAAATACACTGGTGACTGTGTCCTTCGTTTCGGAGTCTTTGCAGCCAGCCACGGCAGGAGCATCAGCTTCAGAGTGTCCATCATCCTGCAAGTTGAATGAGTGCGAACACAAACATCACAACTTACGCACTTCCTTTAGTGGGAACTGGCTTGTCGCTAAAGCAAGTCCTGAATTGCCACAGGCTTGAGCTCGTAGAGGGCATTGGTAAAGTCCATAGCTTGGATCCTAGCCACATCCTCCGATTCTGCCTGGCCAGATGGGATACCAAGAAGAACCCAGGTACCCAAACAAGTTTCACTGCACCTCAGACAACGAGGCCATAGAGCAATCGAACCATGCAGCAGGGTTCATTTGGCAGACGCCGTCCCAACTGCAATCATCCTCAAAGTCAGATTCGCTCTCCGGGTCCTCCAAATGGTTGTCTTCAACTAGAGGCACTTGGAACACCGCTGCTCAGAAACATAGACACTCAGTCAGGCAGGAGCCAGCCTCTGGGTTGGAGCATTGAGCGGGGATCTCCTCAAAAGGTTTCGACATCAAATCTTCAGTTCAGTATAATAACAGTTAACCTATACTCGCCAACAAGACTACAACAAAATTGTCTCCTTGACATCGCATTGCGGTGGTCCGTTGGTTTGGTTGGCCAACTCACTGCCATCAGCTGGGAGGGTCATGGCCAATACCATGCACTATGCATTAGATCAAGCCCTGCTCGAACACAATTGTAATCCACAGAAATCCAATTCAAACGCAAAACTAAACCGGGACCGGCTGCAGTGACACAACAGCAGCCTATCTTACAATTTGCAAGGAACCAACCAGAACCTGCAAGCATTTTCGAATCTCCAAGCTGCAAGAGCCCCAATCAGTGACAAACATCACTGCGAAAGATGGATTGGCCATCGGATTGGCCATCATCATTCATTTAATTTTGCAAAGAGCGCCCATCCTGAAGTTTGGTCACAACTCCCGCCCCAGCCTTTACACAAACAAGAAAGTTTCTCCAACATTGTGTTGAAGGATGGGCATGTTGAGTTCACCTTCACGGGCTGGCTCTCAAAGAATGTTCAATGATATGAAGACCAAAACGGCCCATGGCCGGAAACACGATGTTTCCTAAGCACTTCAGGCGGTCACAATCGTCTGAGTCTTGGCTCTCAGAGAGCCACTGGCAAAGCGGTGGCTTCTCGCGGTTATTCCAACCTCGAGAAGCCTGGCAAACCATGTCTCTCTCTGTCATGATGTCCAAGTCCTGCCGGTGACATAAAGAAACCAACTGCCTAATTGTTGAGTCATAGAATTTCACTCAGCTGCCAATGAACCCACTTGGAAGCCTTGAAGTGAAAGCCATCTCGAGTGGCAAGCAAGAACACTCTTGCCCGGTTGACCTGCTGTCCAAACAAATTTAGGTTTGGTCAATGATTATCTGTCAGCAATGTTAAGACCTTTTCAGTGTTTGAAGTACTTCCCAAAAGCGAGCGCGCGATGAAGCCTGAATGCCAACATTGTGGCCCTGAGCTGTGGTCCACGAAACTCGAAAGTTCTTCTTGAGGAGTTCCTCGCGGCGCTGTGATAATTGTCCACGGTGGATGCTCAAGAAGTTCGAATCTGCCTCCAGCACAACGTCCATTGCTTCCTTCATCCGTGCGGACAAGAAGTTCTTCACGTTTTCCAATAGAATCACCTTCCTTGAAAAACACGGCATGGTACAGAAAACTGCTTGACAAGCAACAACTCAATAGAAAAACATCAGCCGGAGCACAAATTTGGGAGCTCGTCTACTAAACGGATGATTTCATAGAACAATCCAGTTCGATGGTCCTCGAGCCCCCGCATGCATCCTGCCTGGCATATTCCCTGCGTCAGGCATGCTGCGAAACACCGAGGCTGCAAAATCCACATACAGGATCGAACACGCATTCAAAAAAGGCCATTCAAAGGCCTGGCAAGGGAAGCCGGCCGTGATAGCCTCCACGATTTCTCGCTGCTCTGGCGTTGGGTGAAAGGTCCTGATGTCCGGGTGGATAGGTGCTGATGGCAGGCACTTGTCACGCACTCTCGCAGCAATCACACGCTGAGCAAAGGGATCTGCTTCGACCTCGCATCAGTTTTTTCCACAAACATTCAAAGATTGCAGCCGCTATGAACAACAATAATAACATCTTGGATTTCAGGTCGGCGCATATGCTGTAGCGTGCATCACCCTTGGAGGCAGCGCAGGCTGCCATTGACTTCTATTATTTACATTATTTTCCAAATTTCAAGCACTAAGCTTGTCACTCTCGAGCTGCCAGCTCCAACCCGCATACACCAGAAAACAGACTGATGCAAGGCAGCGTACCCTGCACACGCACACTCTCAACCCAACAACAAAAACTCTGAATTCAGCATCAACGCCTGCAACCTGGCCTTGGGCTGCTGGGGGAAGAGCCGCTTGAAGGAGTCTGCAGTCACAGCGCCAGGCGTCGGGTCTGTCCAATTTCGTGGCAAACCTGACGTTCTGTTTTGGTTACAGATTGAAAAGACATTGACCCACATCAATGAAGAGAAAAACACCCCTCGCTGCAAAATCATTGACTCACCTGACCTGCCATCCATTCGCCAAGGTTTGGCGTGACATACTTCATACGTGTCCGCTTCACAGAAGCATGTCGGCACGCTGACTTGTACAAGTCCCAATAGAATATCTGAGTTCCCAGGTCCTGTACGCAAACTGCAACTAAAATCAAGTCGTGTGTCAACCCTGCCATGGTTCGTTCAACTCAACCTTCTACCAAAAAAGAACCGGCCTGTCGCCCTCTCTGAGAAAGGTAACCCGAATTTGCTCGGGTCGTTGCCGAGAAGCATCCTAATAGCAGGATGCAAAATGAAGGCTGGAACACCTAAACACATTCGACTTGACTTGAGCGCCAAGCTGATAGTTCCATATGTTCCCAAGATAGTGGGCTTGGTGATGAACTTTGTGGTCTTAGGGTTGTCGGACTTGATTTTCTCAGGAACCTCAGCAACTAGGGTTTGTGACCAACTCTCATCACTTAATTTATATATATATAACACGTAAAAAACGTATACATTACCAAGAAATAGACCTAAACACACGCCAAAGAACCAACCTCATCTTCAAAGACTCGGCTTGAGGTGCACAAAGAGGGCTGAACGCTTGCACAGGTGAACCCCGGCAAATCGAACCACTGTTGGGATACTTCTTCTTGTCGGCCTCCCACAACAACGAACGACCCAAAATGATAACAAGGAATTTCCTGTCCTGTAGTTCATGGTTTCACGTTAAAAAGCCCTTAGCCTTGCTATCCGGCATTGAATCACCCACGCAGCTGCCGTCGTCACTTAGCGTCAAAGCGCTAGATGGCCAAAGCACTCAATTCAACAACTAAATTTCACTGGTCCGGCCGCTGGGGCCTGGGCTCGCTCAAGGCATCAACGTCAGCTAGTCGTGACATGGTCGCCGTTTGTCAGAGCCACACACGACCGCGCTCGGGAGAGCGACATTACACTCGAAAAAAGACTCCAAAAACCCGAGTTCCGAAAGTGTGGCGTCCAACGCCTGCCAATCTCCAAAAACAAGGTTTTATCACGACTCACGATGAGCCTCTCATCACATAATATGTAGCCCGAATGTGCACACCGGTGGCCCCTCTTTTCAGACTGATTCCACTGTCCATATATATATGTCTGTTAGGGCGCGCGCGCACTGTGGTTTGCTTCCATTATGATGTTGAAGAATTGAGTACATCACAACGGGTGGCCCTAAATGCACCACACTTAGGCGGGGTGTACAACGCTGAGACATTGAGGAGCACAGTTGCAGTTGCGCTTGCGCCAAATTTGGAGGACATGGTAGCTATAAACAACCTCAGTTTAGGGAGAACCCCGGTTGCAAAATGGAACCCCGGTTGTAAAGGCAATGCCTTTTATGTTAACTTTGTGCAGATTGATTTTTTCAATCCAAAAAACCAATCTTTGAAAAACTAGTCTAGATTACTCCAGATTGTTTTTTTTCAATCTAGGATCCTCAGGGTAGGTCGCAGGCCATCGCTAGTAGGTTGGAGGCCATTGCTTGTAGATTGCAGGCCATCGCTAGTAGGTTGGAGGCCATTGCTTGTAGATTGCAGGCCATCGCTAGTAGGTTGGAGGCCAT